GACTGGCGCGTCATGGAGGAGGTGGAAACGTACTCCGACCACCGGTATATCCGGTTTAACGTCTCCACCGAGTCCGCGGACCCGCTGGTCAGACAGGCCCCATGTGGCCCGCGTTGGGCGCTGAGACAGCTGGACCGGGAGCTATTCCTTGAAGCCGCAATCGTGCAGGCCTGGGTGATACCACCGGACAGGCCTGCCGACATCGATGAGGAGGCGAGGTGGCTCCAGGACGCCATGTCCAGAATCTGTGACGTGGCGATGCCCCGGGTCCGGCCAGGTCAGCGCAAGCGCCAGACGTACTGGTGGTCGCAAGAGCTGGCTGCTCTACGCAGTGCATGCACTGCTGCGCGACGCCGGTACACCAGGCACCGCAGGCTTCGTATCCGTCCTCAGGACGCAGAGGTCAGAGAGGCGGAGTTGTACGAGGGGTACAAGGCGGCGAAGGCCGCCCTGAAAGCGGAGATACGGCGGGCCAAAGAGAATGCCCTCCAGGAGTTCTTGGAGACTCTGAACAGAGACCCGTGGGGACGCCCCTATCGGATGGTGCGGGATAAGCTCCGCACATGGGCTCCCCCGCTGACTCAGAGTCTCCGGCCAGAGGTAGTGGAGGAGGTGGTCGGCGCCTTGTTCCCCCGACTACAGAGGGGTTTCACCCCTCCGTCCATGACTCCGCCCCTGCGGTGCCCTATGTGGGCCACAGCGAAGACGACGGCGACACAGTTTCGGAGGTGACCGAGGCCGAGTTGAGAGCGGCGGTGCGCCGGATGGGCGCCAAAAACACCGCCCCGGGACCCGACGGACTGCACGGCAAGGCGTGGGTCCTGGCCTCGGAGGCTCTCGAGCCTCGATTAATTGGTCTCTACAGCGCATGCTTGGAGAGGGGCCAGTTCCCGCTATTGTGGAAGGCGGGTAAATTGGTCCTAGTGAAGAAGCCGGGGCGCCCTGCGGACTCTCCGTCCGCGTACCGGCCCATCGTGTTGCTCGACGAGGTGGGAAAAGTTTTCGAAAGGATCATTTCGAACCGCCTCGTCGCGCACCTGTCGGATGTTGGGCCGGACCTGTCGGACGGCCAGTTCGGCTTTCGCAGAGGGCGTTCCACGGTGGACGCCATCATGCGTGTAAGAGACCTCACGACGGGGACTGCAGTGTCCAGGGTAAGGTCGTAGTGGCGGTGTCCTTGGACATCGCCAATGCCTTCAACTCCCTGCCCTGGAGCTGCATTTTGGAGGCACTTCGATATCATCGGGTGCCCACCTATCTCCGTCGTGTAATCGAGGCATACCTGACGGAACGGTCCGTCATTTACCCCGGTCACCGAGGTGAGTGGAACCGGCGAGAGACGTCGCGCGGTGTTCCACAGGGTTCGGTTTTGGGGCCGCTCCTGTGGAACATCGGCTATGACTGGGTGCTGCGCACCGACCTCCCGAACAACGTCAGCGTGGTCTGTTACGCTGACGACACACTAGTGTTAGCACACGGGAGGTCGCATCAGGCGGCGGCTAATTTAACGGCGAGAGCGGTTACGACAGTCGTTGAAAGAATCCGGCAACTGGGACTCGAGGTGGCGCTCCACAATCCGAAGCCATGTGTTTTCATGGCCGCGGGAACGCGCCACCTCCGGGTGAGTCCCAATTAACGGCGGGAGGAGTTACCATCGGCGTCGAGACGACGATGAAGTATCTAGGACTCGTCCTCGACAGTCGGTGGAACTTCGTGGAGCATTTCCGACGTTTGGCTCCTAAGTTGGAAAGGACGGGGGCGGCGCTTAAGCGCCTCCTACCCAACCTCGGGGGGCCAAACGCCTCCTGCCGGAGGTTATACGCCGGGGTCGTGCGGTCCATGGCCCTCTACGGCGCCCCTGTGTGGGCGCCGAACCTGATGCGGCGGCCCGCTCGGGCGCTGCTCACATCACAGAGGGTCATGGCGATCCGATTGATACGCGGATATCGCACGATCTCCGGGGAGGCGGCGAACCTCCTTGCCGGATTACCGCCGTGGGATCTGGAGGCGAAGGTGCTCGCGCGCGTGTTTTGTTTGCGCGCGGAGGCACGTCGCCGGGGCGAAACTCCGCTGCCGCGCCAGATTAATGCGTGGCGGGATGAGCTCCGGCGTGATCTCATGGCGGAATGGCAGCAACGACTGTCGCAACCGAAGGCTGGGCTCGCTGTCATTGCAGCGGTAAGTCCCCTCTTTGAGGAGTGGCTTGAGAGACGCTACGGCGTCCTCACCTACCGCCTGACGCAGGTGCTTACCGGACACGGAAGTTTCGGTAGGTTCCTGTTTCGGATTGGGCGGGAGGAAACGCCCGGGTGTCATCACTGCGAGGATCGCCCGGAGGACACGGTGGAGCATACGGTGGCGGTGTGTCCTGCGTGGACTGAGCACCGCCGTGTCCTCAGGAATGTGATCGGCGACGGCGACCTCTCGCGTCCGGCTCTGGTTCAGACCATGGTACGGAGCGAGGGGGACTGGGATGCCGTCTCCTCCTTCTGCGAAGCAGTCATGCTAGCTAAGGAGGAGGCGGAGCGCGTGAGGGAACGAACCTCCTCACGACCCGGCCGTCGCGAGAGACACTCCGGGCGTCGGGGATCGCGAGACGATCTCCGGCCACCGTAAGCACGGGCCTGCGGACGGCGAGCATGGGTGACTCGCCGCCCGACCAGAACCAGGCCCGAGCGTACGGCGCGCCGCGTTCCGCGCGCGCCTCAAGGAGCCATCAGACCACCACAGATGGGGCCTAACAAGGCTGATGCCGATACGGAGCCGCGGAAGACTTAACGGGTTGCCGGGGCTCCGGCTCGAAGTGCAGGTGTAGGAACGGGGTGGTTTTTAGTCAGTAAGAGTCTGACACTCCCTCCCGCCTCACCCAGGCGGGAGAAGTCATTGGATGATTTTCCCCCCTCAAAAAAAAAAAAAAAAACAAACGAAAAACTATCATAACTTAAAATGTATTTGCAAGCACTGAACTATTTTGGTGCATTCAAAATTAAAACACATTTTATGTCTTAAAAACCTTTCGTTATGTGAAATGGAAAGTCATGTGATGATAGTAAACGTAGAAGTTTACGCTTAGTTTAGCAGTTTGATTGATAAGAACATGAATCATGGCTTAGATAGCTAAGTATTAACAAGTTTTTTACATACTTCTCTACCATCTTACATGTAGTATTTTTTTATCGGTTTAAAAAATGGGAAATCTTCGAATGATTTCTCTCGCCTGCGTGAGGCGGGAGGGAGTGTCAGACTCTTATTGACTAACCACCACTCATTTCCTACTTCTGCACTTTGAGCCGGAGTTCTGGTAACCCGTTAGGTTTTCCGCGACTCCGAATCGGCATCAGCCCTATTGGGTGGTGGTCTGATGGCTCTTTGAGGTAGGTACGCTCGGGTGTGTTTGTTACACTTAGGAGAAAGTTTAAGTATATTTATTAACCGACTTAGAAATTAGGGGTTGAAGTCGGTTTTTAAACGTAGTCTAGAAGAGTTATTGTTTGAATTAAATTTTTATTTGTTTGTTGTAATTTTTTGATAACCGTCATCATCAATCTGTAAAACATTACATCATCATCGTCACGACTTTTATTCCCGAAGGGATAGGCAGAGGTGCCGGCACTTAATGCCACACTGTACAATGTAACACCCACTTTCCGCTACTTATGTTATGAGTTCCATGTAATTGTGTGATGGGTAAGCCTATTGCCATATAACGGACACAATTCCAGACTCCGTGCTACCTACTACTGAGATTTAATGTTTATTTTTAAAACCCAGCAGTGCTTTACGAGACCCCTTGCCCGGCAGTAGCACGAGACAGTTACTGTAATCAATCTGTAATTTTTGACCAAAACCCTCTTCTAACAGGTTAGCCAATAATGGCCTTTAATTATTGTATCATAGGTACCTAACTATATCAGTCTTTATTTCAGTTTGTTCAACACTTTAAGTGTCCACTTGTGAAATACCAAAGTCCAATATCGACCACATTTTCTTCTGCAGATTTATTTACAAACCTACTACTATTTATAATTTTAGACTCTACTAAATAAAATTAACACATTGGATGCCGTGTCGGACCGACCGATGATGACCGTGGCCGTCGGAGGATTAGCCAGTAACCTTTAACGGTTTATGTCGGTAGTTAAAGGCTTAAATACCTATCTACTTAAAATAATTTTTATGTCCACGCTGTCTATTTTGTTACTAAAGCTAAGATTCCCAAGTAATGTGAACCATTCTTCATATGAATTCCTCTACTTTCATTATGTAGTTTCAGCCGCTTCAGCAGTACTTACTATGAAAACTGCTGACTGGCTAATCTTTTCACGGCCTGACCTACTCCCGTGTTAGTTTGTGGCGATAACAACTCGAACGATCAATATATGGGTCAGGTGACGGGGGAGTCAACATTTAGATGTATTACCTATGAGTATTTAATTGATTATACCTGTGTAGGTAATCCCAGCGATGTGTTTGTTGAAGATGTGGGAAGAAGTTGGTATTAGGTACTTACTTTTTTATATTTGATGGGCCGACATTTGCCAACTATCTCGCCTGGTGGTGCACGATGATGCGGTCTACGATGGAGCATGTCGTCCCATAAGCAACTTATTCACTCGGGCCTTGACGACACCCTTGAGGAAATACAGACTCTGGCAAAGTATTCCACTCCTTAGCAGTTCGCACAAGGAAGTTTTTTATCAAGTACCTAGAGGAGGTCTTAATATGTTGGTATATGCAGTTAATTTCTAATTCGAGGTTACTTTTTTTGGTGGTTACTGCTGAACATAATTGAAATATTGACTAACTTCAGGGATTGAAAAAACCTTTACAACGACTCACACACTGTTACATATCCTATCCCGTACCAGGGCTTGATACCTAAATATTTTCTTTGTAAATATTCGTTTTATTTATTAATAAAAATGTTCTTGTCCACAGACATCGCCGCATGGTATCTCAGTGCGCGCCCACGCAGGTGGGGCGGGGCCGGCGGGGGCGCCATGGCGGGCGGCAGCGTGTGGTCGCGGCGGGTGGCGGCGCGCACGCGCACGCTGCGCGGGCTCGTCCGCGACACGCAGCGCTCATTGCACGATGTTGCTGATATATTGCACTTTGGTAGGTTTTGGAATTATATCATGAATTGGTTTTCTTTGGATGTGATAGACTGATTCGTACAAGTATTATAATTTATAATGGCTATTCCAAAGGAAAATACAGATATAGATAAACAAAGAATTTAAAACGTTCCGCTACAGTCATACTACCGTTCAATGAGATGTTGAAATATCTATCTTTCTAGATGCCTATAAAATCAAAAATTCATGTAAATTACTTCTCAAGTCGATAGTCAAGGCCTTTGTAATAATCTAATAGGCATTGCTATACTAACTATTGAGATATATTACTGTAAATCTTGTATATTATCTAATAATAATTAATGATTACCGCTGACGTCATAGTGCAGTCATCAGACCGCTATGCTTATTAGATTCAACTAGTTATGGCTTGTGACAAATTAGTTATCTGCGTAAATATTATGCAATGTTTTTCCTTTTTTATCTTATTGCGTTACGTAACGTTTTTCTTAGAGGGTATTTAGGTAGATTAGATGGAAATTAAACATATCTTTGACTTATGAATGCAAGATTTAAAGAATATTAGTTGAGTAGATACAGTGTATAATAGAAGCTACGAAAGAACTACACAAACAAACATATTGTCGCGTGTAGAAGATCTCCGGCCACCGTAAGCACGAGCCTGTGGACGGCGAGCATGTGTAGCTCGCCGCCCGACCAGAACCAGACCCGAGCGTACGGCCGGTCGCGTTCCGCGCGCGCCTCACAGAGGCCAGGATGGGGCCCAATAGGGCTGATGTTGATGTAGGAACAGGGTGGTTTTTAGTTAGTAAGATTCTGACACGAAGGGCGGAATTGACGCTTTTATAATATTAGTTGGAAACCGATATTATGGCAGTAATTATTATGAACTGGTCGATTCCCACGCGATCACCGGTGACTGCTCTCCTCTCACTGCATTATAGACCTTATTTCCGATGTTTGACTACTTATGTATGAAAAAAATTTGGGGATATTCGGCACGATATCTCAAGTGTTAAATTCATTTTCAGATTCTGAGGTATTCTCAACAGTGCAAGAAGTAGGCAACCACTCGCAACGCAGCACAGCTCTAGTTATACTGGGCACATCTGCCTCGGCGCGGGCGCGGCTCCTACACTGCCTGCTAGGACACCAACTACTGCCTGACCCACCGCCAAGAGGGTGTCGATGGGTGAGTTATAAAAGAAATTATCTTACAAAGTTTATTATTTTTAGTATTTAAATTTTATTTTAACCAAATTTCGACAGTAATTTTGCATCTAAATTTAAACCCAATTACCCCCCTTCCTAGACCCCGTCTCACGAATCCTCCACAATCCTCAAATTTCCAATTCTCAAAAGGCCGGTAACGCACTTGTAACGCCTTGGTGTTTCGAGTGTCCATGGGCGGCGCCGATTGCTTACCATCAGGTGATCCGTCTGCTCGTTTACCGGTTTATGCTATAAAAAAAAGTTAAAACTAGGGCGATATTTGCCACTGCCAATATATTGAATTTAAAAGTGAAAAAAACCTAATCGTATTTTGCCCGACCGTAATGCACTGAACTCTTTACTACACCTCTTGCCCGAGCAAGTCGGCAGTCACTCATGATATCACTTATCAATATAGACTTTAATAATCAATGGACATGTTGTCATAGCAGCGGTAAGTCCCCTCTTCGAGGAGTGGCTTGAGGGACGTCACGGCATCCTCACCTACCGCCTGCCGCAGGTAAGCACCCGACACGGAAGTTTTGGGAAGTACCTGGCGGCCCGGAGGACACGGTGGCAGGGTGCCCTGCGTGGGCGGAGTACCGCCGTGTCCTCAAGGTGTGGTCGGCGACGGTGACCTCTCTCGACTCCCCCCCCCCTCGAAAGAAGACTAATAATTACAAAGTGATTTTGTCCTTGACATTACTGAAAGTTCTTATGGTTTCTTCTTCTACTCTTCAGATCCGCATCCAGTACGGCAGTGGCAGCCAGCGTCAGGTACACCTGACACTCGGCAACTCGGAGTTCGAGCTGGTGGAGGAGCTCGAGTGCAACAAGAGACCCTGGGACACGCTGCCTGCTCAGGTCAGGGGATTTTAATTGTTCTTGAGTGTAATTGATGGAGATAATCTTCGTAGGAGGTTAGCCCTTTTGGCATTTTATTTTATGGCATAAGCCGGTAAACGAGCAGACGGATCACCTGATGGTAAGCAATCGGCGTCACCCATGAACATCTGAAACACCAGAGGCGTTACAAGTGCGTTACCGGCCTTTTAGGAATTAGGAGTTTGAGGATCGTTGGGGATTCAGGAATTGGGCAGATTGGGGAAGGGGAGGGTAATTGGGCCTCCGGTAACCTCACTCACACGACGAAACACAAGGCAAGCGTTGCTTCACGTCGGTTTTCTATGAGGCCGTGGTATCACTCCGGTCGAGCCGGCCCATTCGTGCCGAAGCATGGCTCTCCCACACTTAAATTTTAAGGTAAGGTAAGGCAGAGTAAAATACATGTCACGCCTGTATTCTTCCCGCGGGTATCGTTAGACTCGATCAAGGGGGTACATACTTAACAGAAATCTAATAATTTGTAACTGTAATTTCCAACCTGCCTGGCAAGCATGGAGATTATGGCAAACAGCACTGAACTCTCACGGACAGTTCATGATGAAGTGATGGAGATATTATCCTTATGATATTTAATAGTGAGACGTCTTGTATCATTTATGTATACTCTAATAATTATTAAAGAACTACGTTTAAAATAACTGACTTCTAGCCACTCTTTTCTGAAAGTCCGCTAATTAATATAGGTACTAAAACCTCCTGAGGGTAAAAAACACTTTTGAAGTCCGCAGCAAAATCGGTTCAGCCAATCAAGAGATAATCGCGCACAGCCATAATATATATGTATACATACAGGCCAAATAGAGAACCTCTTTCTTTTTTTGAAGTCGGTTAAAAACATGAAAGTGCTTCTTACCCAATCTACCAATGATCAAAATCTTCGCTGTTTCCAGGACCTCATAAGACAAGATAAGACTGATCTCACCACAATATTAGAAGTGGAAATCAACAACCAGTTCCTCAAAGATGGTCTCCGCATCATCCTACCTCCAGACCTGGACGTAGACCCTGGAATATCCAGCATTCAGAACCTCAAGAAAACCCACGCAGACCTCTACTCAAAAAGAGACAGTATTTTGAAAAATTTCAACCCAGTGTACCTTTTTGGAATTGATAGGATTGGAAAAAATATTTTTAGTGAAAATATTAGTGGGAATATAACCACTTCTAGAAGTGAAGAGGACTTTTGGAATACTTTTAATTTGTATTCTATGGCGAGAGTGGGGAGTAGCGGGGAAGTGGGGGACAGTGGGGATGGGGATGGTGATAAGAGTGAAGTGAAACGAGTCTGGAACGAGAGTCGAGAGCCGGCTGTGTTCTCTAGTGAGGTGAGTTTCTTCATATCTAAATTCTCTTACTTAAAGTAAAAAAAAATGTATATGGAAATTGTATACTGTAAAAATATAATTGGTTCGGAGATTTAAAAAAAAGATTAGTTTAGTAGATAAAATGTGATCTCCAGAAAACATCAATAATATTATTCAATCCAGAATATTGTTCACAGAACTGCTTAGATCTCCATCAAATTAAAGAGATCAACCCCAACTCACAAGTGCTGTTCGTTCTCTTCTCAAACAGCGAAGACATGAACCGAACAGAAGATAACCCAGAAGAGAACAAAAAACCGGAGAAGAGGATCAATGTTGATGCTCTTAAGTGGATATTTAGGTGAGACTTTAGATCGTACCTATTTACTGAGGAATTACCCGATGGTAAGCAATCGCGTCGCCCATAGACACCCCCAACACCAGATGAGTGACAAGTGTACAGCTGGCCTTTTGGGGGAAAGGAAATTCGGAATCCAGTCACTCACACACCAAAACAAAGGAAGCGTTTAAGAATAAGAATAAAAACGTTTACTTGAACGAAGTATGGTAATTACAGATGATAGTAATTTAAAAAAATAGTCCCACATACATCGCTACTGTTTTCGCCATGCAAAGTTCAATGTTACAATTAATAGGAACTAATGATACAATTCTTACTACTATAAGAGAAGATAAGTCCAGTTTTTTTATGATGCCGTGGTGTCATTTCGATCAAGCCCGTCCATTCGTATCTAAGCATAGTTCCTCCAAGAATAAATTGTTATAAGTTGTTTAATTCAGTTCCAGACAAAGCCAGGAGGCACAAAAGTCCACAGAGAACAAAGCTAAAGGAGAGGAAACAAGACTGTATGAGGAACAGAGAGCCTTCATGACTGATATGATGGACCAGTGGGAGGTCATGTGTGAGTAGAATTTACTTACTATGACCTTGTTAAATCTGTACACTACTTCTAGTAAAATCAAGACAATTTTGTTTATCACTACATCAACAGAGACTGAAAAAATTAGTTAAGTAGTTAAAAAGGTCTTAGAAACGGATACAAGGTTGGGCAATGGTTATTCATGTTCTCTAAAATATCTTTACATACTAATTAAAGAACTGAATCAAGTCTTATCCGTTGCCCTCCCCCAGAAACGTCCAGCGTTATGCTGTAAAGCGCTGTTTTTATGGCGTCTCAAAATCAATCATAAGCAAATAAATAACTACCGTTAGAAGAACAATGAAGATTTTTTATCCAGTCAATAATGAAGTATCATACTGTTCCAGCCACTGCGCCCCCGAAGTACAATGTAAAGAGTCAGTGCGTACTGCTGGACGACTCCGACCTACTTCGCGGCGCAGACCACACGGGCCTCGCTACACTCGCCACACTGCACGCGGGGGAGGGAGCCGCGAGGACCAAGGATGAGAAGGTTGGTTCATCCGTAAATGTCAACTTACCTAATAGGACAGACAAACTGATTATGGTTACAAGGAGTAATTGGGTGTAGATTAAATTGTTTAACGTTGAACTAAAGTTTTTTTTTTACCAAATGGCGCAAATCTGCAGCTACACTGCAATCACTGCAATATTGAACGTCCAATGGCGTGACACTAGCTAATTCCCTATTGGACGAAGAATGAGAGGTTCACACTATCGCCATTAGTGTCAAAAATTTAGTAGGTTCCATTCAACCCACTGATGTGAAAGTTATTGAGCGATCCCATAGTACTGTACAGTATACTGGTATCATAAGACCCGAATTCCCGCGACTCGGCGACAGTAGCGCGACAGTCGCCGCGTCGTGCGTCGCGGAATGCTGCTCATTAATACGAGCCTTTAGCATGGCTTGAAACTAATCGAGTTTCTCGTCAGACAGAGTTACACGAGTAAGCCTAAAACATAATAATTAATTTAGTATGTTTCACCAAAGAGTTAATATAAACAGATTACAAATTGACAGAGACTTGATAGCATCGCTCTCTGATAAACCTGTACCTTTTATACAGCGATCTTCAATCTCCACGGACAGTGTGCAGATTATATAAACCCCTCTTATTTTGAGATGGCTCATTATCCAAAGTGTCTAACGCGAGTCTATTTACGTTAACGCAATCGGGACGTTTATGACGCTCAGCACTCTGATTGGCTGCTCCAAGTTATCCAACTAATCAGGGGGCTAAACATGATAACGTTTCGATTCCGTTAACTTAAAAATAACTTGTATGAGGCATTTAGTTGTGGATAGCAGCAGTTGATGCAGATAATGACGGTGACGATTACAATGATGTCGTTTTATTCTGTAGGTGGTGAAGTCCAGACTGTCACTGCTCAGTACTGTGGTGAAGTTCGCCGCAGACTGCCTGCAGAGCTACCTACTGGAGTACTGCACCAAGCTTAGTGAGGTGAGGGGATACTTCATTATGTTTTGTTAAAATTTAATGTAATACACCAAATAGATGTAAGTGTGGGAGAGCCATGCGTCGGCACGAATGGGCCGGCTCCGACGTGAAACAACGCTTGCGTAGTGTTTCGTCGTGTGGATGAGATTACCGGAGGCCCCAGTCTCCCCAATCCCCGAATCGCTCACAATCCTCAAATTCCCACTCCCCAAAAGGCCGGTAACGCACTTGTAACGCCTTGGTGTTCCAGGTGTCCATGGGCGGCGCCGATAGCCTACCATCAGATGATCCGTCTGCTCTTTTACCGGCTTATACTAATTATATATTTGTATAAAAAAGGTTTTTTTTCATGGAATAGAGCAGTAAAAGAGCTGTTAGTAGGTAATCAGTGCCACCTATAACATCCGCAAAACCAGAGGCGTTACTATTGTGTTGCTGGCTTGTCGGGGGTATTTGAGGATTGAGGATGATAATCTGATAATCTCATTTACACGACTATACACAACGCTGAAGTTATTTCACGTCGGTTTTCTCTGAGGCCGCTCTCCCATTCGTGACTCATACACAAAAGCACTAATGAACATAAAAACAGTAGTCCTGAGTTTAGATTTATTATTGTTATTCTGTTTGTGTCCAGGTGCACGTGCGTCTCCTGCAGCGCTTTATCCTGGCGTCGTTCGACCTGGCGCGGGAGTTACAGGTCGTGCCGCGGAAGATACAGTACGTCGCCACTCAGGAACAACAACTCTATGAGGTTAGTGCAGCTTTTGGAGTACTGTCAGTCTTTGTCAATACGATACGATGGTAAGCGATACACCATTTCCAGAAGAGTAGCATGCGTTTTGTCTGCTTTTTAATAAAGATATCGATATTTTTATAATATAGCTTTGCAACATCCGAAAACAGGACAAAATTGAGGGAAATAACACTTTTATAAGACAACTAGCTACTTCCTTGCGGTTTCACACGCTCTGCTAAGCTCCTATTGGTCGTAACGTGATGTTTTATAGCCTATAGCCATCCTCGATAAATGCGCTATCAAACGAACAAACAAAAAAAACAAACTCTTCCGCTTTATACAATAATATAAGATTTTTATAAAAGTGTTACCTACATTTTGTAAGGTTAGTAATTCATCCAACGACTCCTCGAGGCAAGGAAGTGTCAGACTCTTACTGATTAGACACCACCACGTTCCTAGTTCGGCTTCTAACGGGGCCGCGATGTATAACTAGTCATGTTCGCGACCCCAACAGGGTCTACTGATTACCCAGTCAATAAGATCTGTAGTTAAAGAAAAATACAAGTTCTATCTATTTGTGAGGTGAACCGTGGATGATACTTTTTATATGTGCACCATTGCCCGAACCCTTGAGGGATAAAATTGAGCTCAGAATAAATGATATCATAATTTTTTGTCTACAAAAGCCTTGAATAACTCTGTAGTGAATGTTTCACGTCGCAGACTATAAACGAGAAGTTCTCGGAGGGCGACAAGAAGCGCGAGCTGCTGCAGATCATGCAGGAGGTGCTCGACGAGATGAAGGCAGAGGTCAATAATATGGACTGGAGTGTTGATGGTGAGTTACTTTTTTTGTAGTACAGGGGCAAAGGAGTAAATTAATCACCTGATGGTAAGCGTTACGTCATTTCTAGAAGAGTGCCATGCGTTTTGTCTGCTTTTTAATAAAGATTATGGTATGGTAATTTTTATGGTATAGCTTTGCAACATCCGAAAACAGGACAAGATGGAGGGAAATAACACAGATAGGTATGAAAACCTTTCAAAGGCACGACTTTCAGAAATGAAGCATACGATTGAGAAACAGCTTGGCAAACGAACTGACAAGTGCCCTGATGGTAAGCAATCAGCGCCGCCCATGGACATTTGGTGAGGTGGGGGATTTGGGATTCCGATAACCTCACATGATGAAACTCGATGTAAGAATTATTTCACGTCGGTTTCTTGTAAGGCTGGTATTACTTCGGTTGAACTGGTGTATATGTGTCTAAGCATAGTTCTTCCACATTTTAAAATATAGTTTCTATCCACTCCAGACCTCCCCTGGCACCAAGACCCTCGCTTCATAGTGTCGAACTCCATCTTCTACTCGTCGTCCCGCTCGGCCAGCTCCCCGGAGCGCGTGTCGCTGCGCCTGCGCAGTCCGGCCGACCTGCCCTCCGACGGGGAGGAGGCCGTCTCCTACGACACGTACAACTTCGACGACTACGAGATCATACGGACCAACGACGAGAGCTACTCGGACTCTTTTGGGAAGAGTAAAGTTAGTTGAACTATAGTATTTTTTTAGATTAGATTTTCGATTTTTTAAATTATGATATACGTATGCCGTATGCGTCACTTGGACACACGTGGAGCTAAAGATCGAGCTCAGTGTCATTGGAGAGGCCAATGTCCAGCAGTGGATGAGAACAGGCTGTTAATGAAGTCGCGCTTGAGATTCCTTAAGTAATGAGGCAGAGTCAATAAACAGAGTAAAAAACACTGCAATGTTTCCTATACTTTTGTTATACCCCTTTAGCCGCCGGAGTCCTCAGCGGAGGAATCAGTCCAGTACAGCCACATCCGCGTGGAGAACGAGGGAGGGGAACTGTCCTCCCTGGCCGCCGCGCCCAGTGTCAACTCCTGCTCGTACAGCGGACACCTGTCCATGAAGCAAGCCTCGCTGGACGTGCAGCAGACTGGTAAGTACTTGCTGTTTAAATGTTGCTTGAAAGTTCACGCCACCAAATGAGCTGATAATAAGCAATTGGCGCCAAACATATTTTGGGGATTGAGGATTAGGAAAAGGGGGGATTGGGGGGGATTGGGAGTCACTCAATCCCGTGGTGACGTCACGCAAGTAAGCGTTGTTTCTAACCGATTTTCTGTGAGTTCGTGGTACATCACTCCGGTTGAGCATGCCTATTAATGCTGAAACATGGCATTCCCAGGAACAGCTGGTTTTACTGTGTATCAATAACTCAATGTCGTAACCAAATGTCGTGGTGGCCCGGAGGTTTAAGACGCCCACTTCTCATGCATGAGGGTGCGGGTTCGAAACCTACCAACGGCAAGTACCAATGTGACTTTTTCCGAGTTATATGATTACTACTTTACACTACTTTCTAAGATTATTTAGACACCACTGACAAACGGTGAAGGAAAAACATCGTGAGGAAACCTGGATTTATAATTTCAAATTATAAGTTTGAAATCGCCAACCCGCATTGAGCAAGCGTGGTGATTAATGCTCTAACCTTCTCCGTGTGAGAAGAGGCTTTGCTCAGCAGTGGGCATTTATAGGCTGTTGATGATGATAACTCAATATTGAGATACGTACATAAAGGTCTATAGTTCTCTGTAATAATTGAAATAATTTATTCCAGTTCTCTCTAAACTGAGCCAGAAGATCAGTTTGAAATTAGCCAAGTTTGTGGACTGTCTCAAGGATACGTACTTCGGTACTCTACAGAGGTAAGAGCTTATTGTCTTCTGTGATCAAAGTTAAAAAAAATTAAGTAACTGTTGGTTTGTTTATGATGTCGTTTGGTATAATAGTTAATGAGTAGTAGAATAGATGATGATAGGCTAGTTTGTGTATGTTACAAATCATCATCAATCATCAGTTATCAAGACTAGATCAATAGGACCTAATGCCTCACTTCAGCCAAATAGAAATTACCTTTTTTAACGTGTAGAAATCCTCATGGATTGTCTTTGTCTAGAATATGAGCGTCAGACTCAGTCAAACCACACAGTCAATCCGAGAAAACAATGAGACACTGGGTTATAGAATGAACGAACTCACCTACGACACTCAAATTATGTTACTACCTCCTATCTTTTCGGAGTTAAATAGGAATTACCTAATTGACTTTCTATCCTGAAGAAGCCTGGCTTCATTAGTAAAATATGAATAGATAAAATAATTATAACTTCACTCATACTTATGTCCGATGATATTCAAGTACGATGTAAAATTTATACAGCTTTAGTATTCGGGCGTTAGCTATTTACCGAGATTTAGTAACTTAGGATTAAACTCTTGTAAAATTTATACAACTTTTTATAATTATGAATATGAACCTAATATGGATTTTATGACGTGCAAACATGTTTCAAGATAGAGACAATTGAATTCGGTTCAGATGCCTGGACTCCCTGGAGTCATCGTGTCGCCAGGAGCTGGGTGGTCGTCCGGCCAGCGAGGCCATGCGCCAGCTGCTGGGCGTCGCGCGGACGGTGGACCTGTCGCCTTGTGCATCATTCCCAGTACTACGGTCACTGCTGGAGTCTTTAAGACGGATACTGTACAAGTACGTATGGAGCATTTACTTGAAGTTATCTTAGATAGAGTGTACGCGTTTTGTAAAAAAAAAAACGAATATTTAATGATAGTGAAAACGGCTTTCGAAGCAATCGATCCACTACCTAAGCAGTATACAAGTACGTACAAAAAGCACTTACTACTATAAACGATAAAAATACGCTATAGGTTTGCTGTTAGACATGACAAAAGCCTACGATAAAGTACAATTCCAAATACTGTTAAATAAACTATATAACATAGGAATACGCGGAAAACGTTATGATTGGTTTGTTTCCTACTTACAAAACAGAGAACAACTAGTAGAAGTGCAATATTACAATAAAAAAAACAGGTAAAATAGAATTAGTCCGATCAAATTACATACAAATCGAAGCTTCTATACCGCAGGGAAGCGTTATTGGTTGTTTTCTCTTCCTTGTGTACATAAATGACCTTCCAAACCATATAAATGAACCTTCTGTTTTGTTTGCAGACGACATATCCATAATGACCGCGTATGACTACACTACTAACCTTAATAATAAATTAAACTCCATACTGAACGATACGACAAATTGGTGGACGGAACATAATCTAGAAGTAAATTACACTAAAACCAAAATAATGATCTTCCATCCCCGCCAAAAAATACCGTTGAATTTAAAAATTTGCATATGCACTTCGCGAAATTTAATAACTACAGACCTTAAAACCTATATCCTTGGTCACGTATTACGTGAACGCTTTTGCATGGCTAAAATATTGTGTCATTTTATGGGGGAATAGTACCGACGCACCCTCATTATTCACCTATTGCTGGCCTCACTTTAGACAACTGGACGTGTTGACTTTGCCTTATCTTTATATATTGTTAAAATGCATGCATGCATGCATCTTTAATTTTTGGTGTAGTTCATTATTTGTACTGTAGATCTTAATTTACGAAAGAAACCGTAGTAGTCTCACTTTTGTAAGGCTAGCTATGTATGGCCCCGCTCAGCCAGCTTGTGCCCGCAGACTGCGGCTGGTGGGCGGCGGCGCTGCGGAGGCGTGCTGCGTGCTGTCGCCGGTGTGGCGCCGCCGCGTGGCGCTGGCCGCGCTGCAGCAGCTCGCGCCGCACAGGCTCGCGCGGCTCATCTCCACACAGGTAACATCGCGGAATTCTCTGTAACGCATATTACCACCGAAATATTTTCACGACCAATTTCCTCTCAGTCGATAATTTGTAAAATACTTCAGAGAGTTGTAATATGACTCGTTATGAACGTCAGCTGCGGTGCATACGGTGGGTTTTGCAGTGGCAGCCAATTAAAAATCTATCTAATTTATTATTGATGTAAAATTTGGTTTCATAGTCACGGATTATAAGACAGTTGATCACGCAAATATTAAAACTACTCCGCCTTACTAAATTTCAATAGCATTGATCTAACATTCAAAGACCAATATCTTTGCTAGTTTTTCAACGTATCGCAGATAGACAGGCAGCCGAAGAATATAATTATTATTTAAAATAACATAGAGGTAAACGTTATAACAGATACTAGAAAGACTGAGCATGGCGCACGAAAAGTACCAGTCGGCGCTAACATCGCTAGAAACTGCCCTGGCTGGCAGACTGCATCATACTGAAGATATCAAACTAGCTATTAGGAAAAAGTAAGTACATATTGCTTTAAATATATTTTAGACTATTGTATGTTATCGTTACAGCTAAGTAACTAACATCTTCACGAAGCTGATTTTCGGTCACTCACGGCACGGCTAGTTTGAATTGAACACAAAATGTTTGAATAAAAAAATACCTTAAATGATTATGGGAACATAATGGCCGTCGAGCGATGTAAAATACTGACATTCAGCCAAAGTTAATAGAGACTCGGCAGTAATTACAACACGGTTAATAAAAAATAAATAAAGGAAGAGCATAGATTGCATATAGATTTTTGTAATTTAAAAGGTCAAAATAATAGTATTATAATTTTGTTATGCGCTAAACACATACATTGTCGTAGGTATGCGCCCACATTCGCGCGGCTGTGCCTAGAAAGTACGTCTATGTGTGATCTACTCATGTATGGAACTCCAGAGCTGGGCCGGGAGATAGGTGAGTGATATTTAACATGCAATTTTTAACTTTATTATATTAGTCTTCAAGTCGAAAGTGTTTTGAAAATATGTCATTGACTGTCATTTTCATTTGTGTCGGTCACATAATGTCCATTGCAGCACAAAGACCTTTATTTCAATGGCTCCCTGATTGGCTGGTTTAATGTGACCTTTATCCGGCTATATTCCCCTCCACAATTTATTAGAAAAGCCTTCGTATTTGTCGGATACAGGTCGCGGTCAATACGGCGTAGTATACAGTGTCCGAGGTAGCTGGGCGGGGCGGAGTCCGGTCGCGGTGAAGTCAGTGCTTCCCGCTGATGACAGGCATTACAGGGAGCTTGCCATGGAGTTCTTCTATACCAGGTAACGTAAAAGTGAAGACTTGATGATAGAAATGGTTCTCAATATTAGTTATTGCCAATACAGAAACGGAGAGACTATAATTTTTCAAAATTGTTAAACGTAATTTTTGTCAACTAAAAACTACGGATTTCTCACGTGGATATATTGAGAAAAGCTCTACTAGTTTCGAACCCCAGAGGGGTCTTCCTCATGAGCAGCGTGCGCGGTCGCGCTACGTCTACAGCTCACTGGCTGGCGTTGGCGCTCGCCTCAGTGTTGCTACTTGCACTGCGAGCCCAAAAACCCCTCTGTGGTTCGAAACTAGTAGAGCTTTTCTTAGTATATTCACGTGAGTAACCCGCAGTTTTTAGCTAATTTAGTATGTCTCACGATAGTTATTATAAAAACGTAATTATTGTCGCCGGTTTTGTTTGTGGTTTACTTACATAACTATTTAATCAGATAATTCGACTAGTTTTAAGTCATAGTAAGGTCTCATAGTGATGAGCAATATTGCGCAACCGATACGACGAGTGTTGTGCAATTAAATGAGAAATTTAGGAAACAGAGAGTAAGATCGGAAAAGGAGGATCCTCCGACCAGGCGAGGTGCTCGTGCCTGGCGCCCAACAGTTGTTTGTTGGGATTTTCTATCCGTGTTAATTCGCATGTAAACTTCACATGTGCGATGTAGGAATTTATGACGTTGGTGTTTGTAATAAGGTTCACTCGACGAGCAGGGGAGTGGAAAAATGAAATGCGTGTTGTCCACATGCAAGTGTATTAGCGACTAAAAAATGTTACATAAAAATACTGTTTTAACCATCGACTTGACGTACCTATGTATAGCTAAATATATGGAACTGGTTTGTGAGCAGCCACGACAATTCTTACATCAACATACCGCCCACCAAAAGGACTTTAAGTTCTTTTAAAAATAAAATAAGATCATTTAGTAATCTAAGTACGTACATATGTGAAGTTATATAAAGCAAGGTTCAAAACGTACAAAAATGCAATCTACAATATAAGTTCAAGAAAAATCAATTGACTTAAATTTCTTATGAATTATAAAATCTAACAATTAATGATTCAATAAAAATCGTTCATGTCTAAGTGGAATCAACAGGCAGTGCACATAACTTAGTAATTGTTCTCTTCGTAATAGAATTTCCATTTTTCACACTATATACTCTGGTATGACCATCTGCGCCTGGATGTTTTTCTATAATTCGCCCTAAAGACCATTTTCCGGGTGGCAGATTATCAGTCTTTATCAACACAATATCGCCTATTGAAAATTCTTTCTCCTTCTTCATCCATTTAGGACGCTGCTGAAGTCTAGTCAGATATTCTTCTTGCCATCGACGCCAAAAATCGTTCAGGAGCTTCTGTGCGTGTTGCCAACGTGTCAAATTATGCATTTTCACAGCTTGAAAATCAGGCGAGGGTACCACTATAGGTGGTTCCCCTATCAAAAAATGTCCAGGAGTTAATGGATTTACGTTTTCTGAGTCAGTATCATCTATAGGACATAAGGGTCGTGAGTTAAGGCAGGCTTCTATCTGGCACAATATCGTCGTCAATTCCTCAAACGTGAAGAGTTAGTAGTTATTATGCGTTTCAGATGGTATTTTATTGATTTAACGCCTGCTTCCCACAATCCTCCGAAATTCGGGCTGTATGGTGGAATAAAGTGGAATTGAGTGCCATCGGCAGTTAGTGTATTTGCTATTTCTGTTGTCATCTGTGCTTCATTCCATAACTCATAAAGTTCTCTACCTGCTCCCACGAAGTTTTTACCTCGGTCACTCCACAGATGACTGCATTTACCTCTCCTGGCAACAAAACGTCTAAATGCTGCGATAAACGCTTCTGAGGTAAGACCTCCCACTAATTCTATGTGGATTGCCTTTGTGGACATGCATATAAATATTGCAATATATGTTTTAGTTGTTTTGTTTCCTCTGCCTTTAGACACTAGTGTTTGAAATGGTCCTGCGAAATCCACACCACTGTGCAGAAACGGTCTCGTAGGCGTAACTCTTTCTATAGGTAAGTCACCCATTATTTGTGCTTTGGTTGTTGCATTGAAACGAGCACACTTCATGCATTTGTGCACATGTTGTTTGACCAGTGATTTAGCTCGTACAATCCAGTATTTGAGACGTAGGTAACAAAGCATCAACTGGACTCCGCCATGCAGTGTTTTATGATGTGCATTAGCAACAATTAACTTAGTTAGAGGGTTTGTCTTGCCTAATATTATAGGATTCTTCGCGTCGTTTGGTAAATTGGCATGTCTCAAACGACCGCCCACCCTGAGGATATTTTTCTCATCTAAATATGGATTTAGAGATCGTAGCTGACTTCTTTTTCTTACTTGTTTCTTGACCTTTAAACAATCTATTTCTTCTCTAAATTCTTCTTCTTGTGCCTTTTTAATGCAGATGTTTAAAGAATCTTCTAATTCTTGTGTTGTTAAAATTTGATTATTTTCGTAATATTATTTTTCTTACAGTTTAAAAATCTTCTGCAATAAGTAATAGTTTTAATCAATTCTGTTAAAGTTTCAAAGTTTTCGAATTGTGATAGTAATGATGTTTCCCGGGCTCTGATTTCTTCTGTATTAAGGTAAGTATTTATTTTAGTTGTCTTCATTTCTAAATCTGTTTCTGTTTTCTTATGTTTAATCTTGATTTCTTTTTCAGATAGCCAGCTTGGTCCGTGCCACCACAAGTTACTTTCTTTCAGATCGGATAACAACATACCTCGTGACGCCAAATCAGCGGGATTTTCGTGTGACTGAACGTGGTACCATTGCTTATTATTGAGGTTCTCGATTATTTCTACCACACGGTTTGCTACAAAGGGCTTCCATCTATTGGGTTCGCCACAAAGCCATGCGATGACGATCGAAGAGTCGGTCCATGCAATCATGTTTGATGTTGGTATTCGCATTGATGTTCCAACTTGCTTCATTAGTTTTGAAAGCAATAGGGCTCCACTGAGCTCAAGGCGAGGTAATGAAATTATTTTCAATGGTGCCACTCTCGTCCTAGCAGCTATAAGTTTTGTTTCTATATTTCCATCAGAGTTTTCAATCCTAATATAGACTACTGCTGCATATGCACGCATTGATGCGTCAGAGAAACCATGTATTTGTGCTTTATTATTGCTAAAAGATAGTGTGCCAAGCCATCTTTCGATTTTTATTTCGTTTATATTATTGAGATCAGATCTGATTTGCTGCCATTCTTCTTGTAAGGTATCACTAACTTCATCATCCCATTGCAATCTCTCAAGCCAAAGCTTTTGTATAAGTATTTTAGCCATAACAGTAGTAGGTGCAATCCAACCCAGAGGATCGAACAGTTTTTGTATATCCGACAGTATTTTGCGTTTGGTTATTGGTTTGGCATTGGTTGGAAAATTACAATTGTATTGAAACCGATCTGATTTTAAATTCCAAGTGATTCCAAGTGCTTTTATGGTTCCGTTTAGATTCAAATCAATACTTGCATTGACTGATCGTTTGTCTTCTTCAATGGATTTCATGACTTCAATACTATTGGATGCCCATTTAGTAAGTATGAATCCTCCTCTTTTGAGTGTATGAGTTAATTCGAGTGATAGAGTTATAGCTTCGTCTACTGTGTCTGTACCCGACAAAAGATCATCCATATAAAAATCTTCGTTAATAGTTCGAGCAACTAAGGTGTTTGTATTCGCTTCATCTTTGGCTACCTGTTGAAGTGTTTTAACAGCCAAATAAGGTGCAGAAGCTGTGCCAAAGGTAACTCTGAGCAATCGGTATTCTTCTAGGATATCAGATTCATGCTGCCTCCATAAGATTCGCTGATAGTCCGTGTCATCTGGATGCACTAATATTTGCCGATACATTTGTGTTATATCAGCTACTAAACAAATACGTTTCATTCTCCATCTCATTAGAATGTTTCTTAAGTCTTCTTGCAGCTGCGGACCGACGAGCAATTCATCATTTAAAGAAAGGTTGTTTGATCCTTTACACGATGCATCAAATACAACGCGTGTTCGAGAAGACTCTTTATCATCACGGATGACCGCATGGTGAGGTAAGTATAGAGATCTTTTATCTATTTCCTTTTCAGGTACCTTTTCTAAATGTCCTTGTTCTATATAATTACTAATTACTTTTGCATAATCTATTTTCAGGTCTGGCGATTTATTGAATTTCTTTTCCAGTAGAACAAATCTCTTCATGGCTATCAATTTAGTGTTTCCATCAGGTGATTGTGGACTGTTTGTTTTAAATGGTAATCTAACTATGTACCTTCCTTCTTTCGTTCTAATAGTTGTTCTTTCGTATAATTCTTCACACAGTTGCTCTTCCTTTGTTAAGTGTCTCTTAGTATCTGAGTCGATTTCCCAAATTGATTTTAACATGTCTTCGATGTCGACTGAGTGATGCATGACTACATAATTGTTATGTTGTGTTGTATAAACTTCCCCAAAAAGAATCCAACCTAGGTTTGTTTTCTGAGCGCTTGGTGTGCCTGGTGGACCTTTGATTATATTGTTTTGTAAAATGTCAGCATATTCCTTTACACCTAGGAGCAGATCTATAGACCCTGGCATGAAGTACGTTGGATCAGCCAGGTTGAGCCCTTGGATGTGTGACCATTCTGGTGTGCTGATTGTTTTCATGGGAATCCTTGTGGTCAGTTGCTTGGGCATTACGTATGCCTTGATAGGTAAACAATAGTTTCGGTCCCATCGTGATCTTATCTGTAGCTGTACCACATGTTTCAATTCGGTCCTATTGGATCCCACTCCTATGATGCTTCCCTTAGTCGGTTGTCGTTCTAACTTTAATAATTGAGTCGCTTTCTCGCTAATGAAAGCTGCTTCAGAACCTTGATCGACTAGCGCTCGCAGTAAGATGGTGTGTCCTTGTTCGTTTGTAGCTTCCACTACTGCTGTTGCTAAAAGAGCTACTCGTTGCTTAGCGCTGTATTGTGACGTCATCATTGTGTTGACTTGTATTGCTTGCTCGTCTTCTACATGTGTTACAGCTGGGGGATGATGAGACCGAGGAATCCTCTGGCTTTGTGTTCTTCTTAACATGTAAAAGGGAATGATGGCGTCTGTGGCATAGACGACAAGACACTGGCACCTTGCACTTAAATGCCGAATGTCCTGGCACCAAGCAATTGTAACATAAGTGTTTCTCCTTCACAAATTCACTCCTGTTATTAGGTTCCAATTTGCAGAAATCCTTGCAATGACTTAAACTGTGGTTATCCTTGCACATAACACAAACTTTCTCCGTTACTGGCGTAGCAGCGTAAAATGAACGTTCTTTAGTTGTTTTATAATCCTTGATGGTAATATTTTGATTGGTTAATTCTAATGTACGGAACTTTGTCTCTAAAAACTTCTTAAGATCACTCCAGGTAGGTACACAGTCCGAATCTTCCTTATACGCGTACTCTTCCCAGTTTTTGTGAGTCTCTGGGTCCATCTTCTGCACGAGAAGATATATAAGAACTGGATCCCAAGAGCTTGTGTCAATGTTTAAAGTGGTTAAGCTATGTAAACATTCGGTTGTTGTATCCAACAATCCTTTTAGCTGAGAAGCTGATTGAGAAGTCATCTTCTTTTGATTGAATAATCTTCTCATAGAATGATTCAATATTAAGCGTTTATTCCCGTACCTTGTCCTCAAGATATCCCATGCGTGAGCATAATTGTTATCTGTGACCTGTATGTTGTTCAGTAATGTCTGAGCTTCGTGCGTAACACTTGTTTTCAGGAAATGAAGTTTTTGCACATCACTTAATGAAGAATTATTATGCACTAATGATGTAAATAAATCTTGAAATGTTTGCCATGACTCATAAGTTCCAGAAAATTTCGGTAGTTGAATCTTCGGTAAGTGTATGAATTTATTTTGTTGATTTGGAAGGGTACAACTAGAATTCGCTGACCCTGATTCATAAGATCCCGATAATGCAGTAACCATATCTTTCAAGTCACCTTGTAGCACATTGTATAATTCTTCATAGATAAAAAATTCATCATTCATGAAATAAGGCAAAGTCCCTTTATGAGCTTTTGGTGTTATCTTCACTAAATCTTGATGAGCACACTTAAATGTATGCCAATATTCATCTATAATCTTCATTCGCGCTTCGATATAACCTTTAGTTAACCGTTGTTTAGGACATTTTCTCAGGTTACTTTGAGTCTTCTGTAACAGGTTAGCAGTATCTTCCAACACGGAGAGAAGTTGTTGTTGTTCTTCGGTCGAACACATTTTTCTTGATAACGAACCTCTAATGCAGCTGATTCCCGATGTGTAATGTCGTAATGACGTCTTCTAATAAATTGTAGTAAACAACTTGCTAATTCGTGGAATTGAATAGGTGCAAAAAAAAAAAGGTTCGCTTATCGCTGCTTAGGAATGCGGCCTTTTGTTCTCCTGGCTCGACGACTTGACTGTTGTATCCGGCTCGAATTTCGACCATATGGTGTTTGTAATAAGGTTCACTCGACGAGCAGGGGAGTGGAAAAATGAAATGCGTGTTGTCCACATGCAAGTGTATTAGCGACTAAAAAATGTTACATAAAAATACTGTTTTAACCATCGACTTGACGTACCTATGTATAGCTAAATATATGGAACTGGTTTGTGAGCAGCCACGACAATTCTTACATCAACAGACGTCATCCTTTGATTTGTTTTCGTCGATGGTCTACGTGCGTGTGCTGTCATTTGACATGTGTCGCTACACTCAGTTAATACTGCACAGGACTAAGCATCCCTACCGGGACTAGAAACTAGTTGAGTTACCTTGTCAAGTTAAGTAAGGGAGCCGTTACACATAATTATGTCCGTTCTGTTAAATTTTAAGGAACCCCTAAGCTAAAACACACTTAATGATATTTTTGTTTTATGACACCTAACAGTACAGATAACGGGTTAGTTTTAACCGTTAATTAAGAGATGATTGGTGAAAACGGTCATGAATGTTACCTAAATGATTTGTCTCCAGGAGTATCCCTGCCCACCCCCGTATAGTCCGTCTGTTCGGTTCAGTCGTGCAGCGTCACAGCGGCGCCGGGCCCTGCGTGCTGCTGGTCCAGGAGAGGAGGGTCCGGGACCTGCACGCTGCGGTTAGGGCTGGACTCAACTTCGTGGCCAGGATACGGATCGCCAGGGATATTGTTGAAGGTAAGGGGGATCTAGGAAGTGGTATATGTTTTCCAAAAAAATGCATGTCTTTTTGTATTGCTTATCAAATTGCAATGTCAAAACTGAGAACACGTCCCACTTGGGCGCGCGCGCGGAGCGAACTGACTACAATAGTAATCAATTCAAAATGAAAGAAAACCTTTTTTCTTTACATCTGCTCTCCCGAGGAAGAAAATTCACCCGTAAATTTTCTCTCAGGGCCTAGCTTAGTTCTTCTTCCATCTCTTCTTCACTTCTTTCTTCTTTATCTTCATTATTTTTCTATGTACACTGATATTAGGTTTGATATATGAAATAGATTTGACTCTGTCTTCCTGTATCCTGTATATATGACAAAGACTAAAAGTTCGTATTGGTGCCAACTGGGGACCAATTTGATAGCCCCATTAAAGATAATGTTTTTGTTATATATTTTGGGAGAGCTATGCTTCAATATAATTTATGTGAATCTAACTTAGTGATACCATTAGTTTAATGTCAAGTTCAGAAGACCCAATCAATCTCCGTTTCGAAACTCATTTGTGATTCTAGTTATTTTTGCGAGTTTAAAAAGAATCTTTTACTTATTTGTTCGTGATAGGCAAACCTAGACTGTTTCATTGGCCGAGTAGTCGCAAGTGCGACTGCCGGGCAAGGGGTCTCGGGTTCGATTCCCGGGTCGGGCAAAGTATTATTGGGTTTTTAAAAATCTCAGTAGTAGCACGGAGTCTGGAAAAATGTGCCCGGTATATGGCAATAGGCTCACCCCCTATTACATGGGACTCATAACATAAATAGTGAAAAGTGGGTGTTACATTGTACAGTGGCATTAAGTGCCGAAATGTGCACCTCTGCCTACCCCTTCGGGGATAAAAAGGCGTGATGTTATGTTATGTTGTTCGTGATAGGCAAACCTACTCCTACATTCCAGGTATCCGCTACCTCCACTCGCTGGGGCTGGTGCACCGCGACATAAAGATGAAGAACGTGCTGCTGGACGCGTGCGACCGCGCCGCGCTGTCCGACCTCGGCTTCTGCGCGGCCGAGGCGCTCATGTCGGGCTCCGTCGTCGGCACGCCCGTCCACATGGCGCCCGAGCTGCTGGCCGGGGACTACGACGCCGCTGTCGACGTCTATGCCTTCGGGATACTGTTCTGGTAACATCATTATTGGTCTCGTTGTTGGTGCTCTTCGAAACATAGAAAAATATTGACATCCTATGTATATCAGGGATTTTATCAAACAAATAGATAGATTTTGGATGTCATTGTACTCTGTAAACATCATTTAGAAGAATAAAGTTTTATATTTAATCTTAATGAGGAAGAAAAATTCATAATGTTAACTTATCTACGTATTTCGTAATGTTAATGGTGCCCGTGGTGGCCCCGAGGTTTAAGGCGTCCGCTTCCCATGCACGAAAGTGCGGGTTTAAAACCTCCCAATAGCAAGTACCAAAGTGACTTTTTCCGAGTTATATGTACTTTCTAAGATTATTTAGACGACACTGACAAACGGTGAAGGAAAGCATCGTGAGGAATTCAGGGCTTAGTAATCATTTCTAATTATACGCTTGAAATCGCCAACCCCCATTGGGCAAGAGTGGTGATTAATGCTCTAACCTTCTCCGTGTGAGAAGAGGCCTTTGGTCAGAAGTGGACACTTATTGGCTGACGATGTGAATGTAACCTTCTACAGGAAAAGCTAGAGTAATAAAAACATGTTTGAGATTCATTTCCTAATAAAAACAACAAACATGCTAATACCCAATTTCATTCCAGGTACGTATGTGCTGGCAACATCAAGCTACCTTCAGCGTTTGAGACATTCCAGAATAAAGAACAGCTGTGGAGTAAAGTCAAACGAGGTATGTATTCAAATCATAACGTTATAGGCGTTGTAAATGAAACCGACAAACTCCCAAAAATTATAAAACTCTTTTAGATTTGTGATAACCTTTATGTTAAACAGCATAGGAATTTCGATCTTATTCGTTTTGGTATTAATTAATATCATAATAAGAATCTTGATGCCGTCTACTGCTAACCTGATGGAACCTACGTCGTATCTGTGGTTGTTTCTGGATTCTATTGGATAATAGAGGATCTATTTAGGTTTAAGGGATTGGCATAGCTGCAAGATTATTATTATACTGTCTCCATTTACATCACTGTTATTCTCCCAAGGTCTTCGGCCCGAACGCCTCCCCCACTTCACAGACGAATGTTGGGAGGTGATGGAGTCGTGCTGGGTGTCGGAGCCAGCCCAGAGGGCGCTGCTGGGCGACATACAAACCAAGCTCGAGCACATCCACACACTCGCGCTCGCAGACACCTCGCTACACGACGTCGGCGCCGCGCCCGCTGACGTCGACTCCGATAATGAGAGCCTGGACATGACCGGGATTGATAGAACTTGAGTTATTTCAGGGAACAACTAGGTCAATGAAATGTTCAGTTGAAACGAATGGATTTGTTAGTGTATGAGATTAACATTGATTTATATTACTGTTTTAAAATATTTATATTGTAAGTTTAGTGATACTTACCAAATTAATTATTGTGTTTTTCGGCTTACTTACGTAACTGTTTGACGAGGAACTCGACTAGTTTCAAGCCATTCTAGGGGGTCATATTCATGGGTCATAGCAGTAGAATATGAGCCTCTAGAATGCTTTGAAACTGGACGAGTTCTACGTGAGTAAACCGAAAAACATAATAATTAATGTTTAAAATATCATTTTCGTTTTAACACTGTTATTTTGTGGCGTCAACTATACAATACTTTTGTGTCATCTAAATCATTTATTTGAGAATGAAATAAGTATCTTTACTTACTAAATAAACAATGGACTTGGACAATGTGATTGTTTTAAGTCGAAATATTTATTTTGGCTGAAGATTTTGTCAAAAATCCCATACACTAACTTTTCTATAATATTCGACTATCGTTGAAACTATTTATCTATGATTATAATAAAACAGAGCTTATCTATGAATTTCTTCTATAATAGAAGAAGTACGTTTTTTATACATTATATCTTTTTGTTACATAATATTATTATTTTGTACAGGCACCAGCACTAGAAAGTGTCTTAAGAGCTGATTTTTATAACCCCAGATAAATTTTATCGAAGCAATAATTTTGAATTCTTCATTGTTCACACTAAAAACTGTCATTTGTCATTTTCCTGTGTCAAAAATAAATTATTTTGATTTTCAATCCAATTAAATATTCAAAAATTATTACAATTTCATTCATATATTTGACGTTTATATACTTAATTTTCGATTTATTCTAGCAATTTTGTTCAGAAATATGTGCGCTATTTGACTCCAATATATGATGTCGTCATTAGTTAGTTTTTGGTACAAAATTCATAGAACAATATCGTTTTTGACGTTTCGATAAAATTATTGAATTTGATTGGTTGTAAAATACAGTATTGTCAATTTTATTCTACAGTTAAATATTATCTGTTGATTGTAAAAATCAGGCCTTCAAACGTTTCCAAATATGTGAAACTATCGTTCGAGTAGTTTTAACCGGGAGTGTTGAGTACTGGGGTTCGAGTATGATTCCCAGGCTAGGTCAAGCAGGAAACATGTTAGAAAATTTGCTTTATCTAGGATATTTTGATGATGTGCTGGTGTCTGTCTTGTCTCGTTTAGAAAAGTCGATTTTGAATGAAAGATACGTATACTGTGAATTCGTTTGTAGTCGATTTTGTTTGTAAATCAAACGATGTAAGGTACATTTTGTGAATCAATGAAATCTGTAAATAATATCCTTTTGTAATGTTAATTACTTTGTCGTAAAAATAAATATACCGATTAGTTTCTGTGCAAAATAACAATATATTTTATAAACATGTGATGTATTTTCATATCCTACTTGATAAAATTACTGAAAATACGACTGTAAGTAAATAAAATTAAAGTACATTTTGATTTGAGATTGGATCTGATATGGTTTTTCTTCGTTTTTCGTCTTTCTTGAAAAGTAGCAGCTTTTCAAAGGACGATGTTTTTAATGTATAAAATGTACTTTTTATAAAATGCATTACAATTAACCAATGGGGGCTCGCTACGTCATAATATTAGTATCGACATGTACTAAAGTATGACGTCATATGATATTCTAAACTCTTCACTGTATTTTAATAAATATAAACCTTATGTCTACCATTGTAAGTAGACACTTCTTTCTAAACTATTTATTTTTGCTAACGTTTTTAAAATGTATGTCCAGTAAAGAGACAAATAATAATAAACTTTAAGTACTAGTGTTAAGGTTTATATTCGTCTGTGATCAACAAATTGTTATAATTATAATTTTTTTTTTTTGTTAAATTGTTGAATGGAATTCTGAATGTTTTTTTAAGTGTTTTTGGTCAATAAAATCCAAAAAAATGGTTTTCGCTTAGCGAGTGCGAACAAAAACTTAAAATTATATGAAATATAATTATATCGTACGTTCGTACGATGTTTTAAAACTAAATCGAATAAAATGTAAAAATAATTTGTGTATCATACTTTTTATCTGTTAAGTCAAGTAATACTAAGTCACTTTGTATTTGAAAAATATCAAAATAAATAAGTTAAAAACATACAAGTACATTTTTCTCAATTGTACATTATATAGCACTGTTTTCCATAACTGACTGCCTCGTTGGCCGAGTCGTCGCAAGTGTGACTGCCGGGCAAGTGGTCTCGGGATCGATTCCCGGGTCGGGCAAGGTACTACTGGGTTTTTAAAAATTCTCAGTAGTAGCACGGAGTCTGGAATTGTGCCCAGATAGGCAATAGCAATAGGCTCACCCCCTATTACATGGGACTCATAACATAAATAGTGAAAAGTGGGTGTTACATTGTCTGTACAACGGCACTTAATGCCACTGTTGGCATTAAGTGCTGTAATGTGCACCTCTGCCTACCCCTTCGGGGTATATATGTATTTTCCATAATTATTTGTTTGGTCTGTCACAAATTCACACTTACACAGATTATTGGTCAGGCTGTCTATCTGACTAACCTAGGTTTCGGTATTTTGGGCTACTAAATATAGAATTTTGTATGAAAGGAGTCCATTTTTTTATAATAACGATTGCAAGAGATTCTAATGAACTAAAAATGACGGGTTACACACGTAAATATATTAAAAAAAGCCTACTTACAGTAGGCTCTCAGTAGGCTACGCGATATCACCGCGGCCAAGCATATGGCTCATGAGGAAAAGTTCCTCTGTGACTCCCAACTAGTAGAGCTTTGTCTCGGTATATTCACGTGAGTAACCCGTCATTTTTAGTTAAATCAGTACGTCTCACGATGGCTATTACTAATACTAGAGCAATTAAAAAATACAGAAAGTTCTACTCATTTCAACTCGTACCGGGAGTCTAATTCATGAGCAGGCATCGAGTTTTGTTTTTGTTTTATCTGTAACTTGATTTACCAATAAGGTTGTTGAGATTGACTACAATAGAAATGGCATTAAATCATAATATTCACACAATATATTAAACTCCAGTTATACCAAATATTAGATACCTATTGGATCAATTTCAAGATATTAGCCAAAAATACCCATATACTTGGTCAAATCAACCAATGTTAAACACAAACGTAGCTTGATATTAAACGTCTTTACACTTACTGCCAATCATTATTTTTTTTATAAATACACACAGCAACCACATACATTTTCCACTGAATAATAATAAATGGATTATGATCATGTTTTTCATACACTTTGTAAATATTTCAGTAATGTCAGTAAGAACTGTCCGTCTGACTGTCACAGTTTATATGATAGTATTACTACAACCGTATGATTGCGTATTTTAAGAACATTATTATTATTGTATTCTGGAAATAAACGCTTTTTATATTATTTTGGTGGTTTTATTTTCGAAAAACTAAAGGTGCACTTTTAACACACATTTTTTCCCCTTGAGTTGCTTGTAATAACGGCGGAGATACTCGCAGCAGTATCTTCGACTATCTAGATACCATTCCGACCGGTGCTACTACTAACCAATTACTATTTTAGAAGATCAGAAATCCCTACCCTTGTTTAATACTTTGTCGAAGCAGGGAATCGTACATGACACTACTGGGTCATCGCACCCAGTCGTGATGACGAGAAAAGCTAAGGAGAATTATTTAATCTTCTTGAAAGAATTATGAAATCTCGAATTTATCTAATCAACCATTGGTTATACAACAAGCAAGCAATATTGAATACGTATAATATTAAAACAGTTTTATACAATAAGTACCTACACACTATTACATCACTAAGCCTACAATAAACACATTAGTACTAACTACTATAACGCACAACCACGAGAGCCTACAATTTGCATACAACACGAGTTGCCGAGACGTAGAAATTATAATGATTATCATAATTTGTGTTCTGGCTCGTTACCTAATGACATTCGAGACGAGCACGCTAGTCGCTAGTCGCACACTGCTCTAAATGATTATTATGGAAATAGTAAGGTGTGTTGGGGTAAGATCGGCGCTGGGGTAAGAACGTAGGAATCAAATATACCACTTATTTGGCCATATTTTTTAATGTTAGCCACATTGCCCGCAACGTCATTATGTTTCACCCCGCCTAGCAGTGATCGCTAGTCGCTCCGGCTACTTGGACGTGTACCACGCGCCGTTAGAGAAAACAATGTAAGTTTTATAAAATATTTGTTTATCCGATCTTTCACCTGCATTTTAATTTACATATTTTAGCAAAAGTATTGCTTATTTTGGATTTGTTTTGCCTAAATTCTAAGTTTTAAGCAGTGATAACATGATAAAACTCATCCAGATACGGCTACTACATCTGTAGGCTGAAATCCGGTGTTACCCATCACGAGTAAAGATCGGACAAAAATATCCGGTCTTATCCCGTTTCTAAATTGCCAGTGATTTTCAAACTTTTATTACACATCATTTTAAATATCTACTTAATGTGTTCGTAATCGTCTTATTATGGCGCTTAAAATCCAGGGTCACACTGTTTGATTCTACAGCTATCTGTTTTCTTGATTACCTACATTGATTTTAAATGAATAGATACTTATAACAACAATTAATTTGCAGATGCCACGTATATACTCTAGAACCTCTTCGCGGGCCAGACCTATACAAAAGAATCGCTGCAATTGGTCATGCAGAAAATAAATAATAAGGAGCTCTCCTATGCAGCCGCTTCAAAAATGTACGGCATACCTACATCCACACTTAGTAACTGCTACTAAAAACCAAAAATGTGTATTTTCATAGAGATTTTTGTTATTGTTTTGATTTTTGTTTTCTAGATCGTTGTCATCATAGATATATAACATAGACGTTTCAGTTTAATAAAGATTTCAGTTTGATAATAGAAGATGTTTAACTCAATTAACCTGAAATG